TGGAGAAAATCGAAATGTAGCTTTTCACCATCAACATTCTTTTTTTCTTCTGTTTGGGGAGAGGGATCTTTCCCTCTTCACCTATTGATTTCCAACTAGTTTTCAATAATTCCACAATTAATTATTTTTGAAGGTGACAGTTCTATTGGAAGTTAAGAAATGAGTAGAGAGCAACAAGGATGAAATAGTGAGATGGGGGGAAAAAGGAGAACTTCACACTTTCACTGGAAGCGCTACTGTCTTCTCCATGGACTACACATGATTTAGGAGACAATTGTAGGAGAAGAACAGGCAGAGCCTGGGGGTGGAGTCAAGAGAAGACTTAGCCTAAAGTCATTACGTTCCCATAAACGGTTTAAGTCTAATCCCTCTTGAATTCCATTGAGCCTTATCTAGCGTCAATTTAGTGCTGACTTTTAGTTGACCAGATTCTTCTATATAGGCATGAGCAATAAATCAGCTTATCTGGAGCCTAATGCAGTGGGGGGGGGGATTCAAATATCTGAACAACCGGTTCTCTGCATGGATGCAGGCCTGGGCCTCCGAGGCCTAAAACAGACTTCCGGAAGTGACATCCATGCACTTCCTGTGGGCGATTCTAGGCCTAGGAGGCCTCCTCCAGGCCTCTGAGGTCTAGAATGGACTTCCGGAAGCAGCGTGGGTTTAGCCAATTCTCCGAACTCAACAAAATTTAACTACCGGTTCTGCCAAACCCGTGCAAACCAGCTGAATCCCACCACTGGCTTAATGCATGGTGCTGATTCTTGACATCTGATACCAATAGTTTAATTTAAAGCAGAGATAAATAACATTTGGGTGGGCTACATGTTGTGTTTAACATTTTTGGAGTAGAATGAAATGTGGATTAGAATGATTTTTTCGCTTATTTTTATTCTTTAAATATTATGTCTACGGTAGGGCTTCTAGAACAATGTTGAAATAATTTCTACCCCAAATGGTAGAACGGTTCAAGTTCAGCTGTAGGGAGCTTCTGTGGAACTTCCTCTTTGTCCCCTCTTCAGTTTACTCTTATTAAATCAGACCAAATAGGTGCCCATTGTGTCAAGTTTTCCAAAAATTTCTCCTGTTAAACACTCAATGAATCTTATATTATGGAATGTGGAGCTTGGTGGTGACTATCTCAAGAGAAAGCCTTAAGGAAAAGTACAAGTCTCTTTAGCGTCTCTCACTTTGATCCGTCTGTCCAACAGATCTTCAAGGCATCATTCATCACTCACCATCATTCCCTTGTTTGCCCACAGCCATGTAGTGAAGATGGAAAGAGGAGAACTTCACATGTTCTGTGGAAGCTCTACCCTGAACCAGTTGTTCTCCCCTACATGTAAAACCAAAATTGAATCACTAGGGACCTCCTCTGTTTAAACAAAGGAGAAATAAGGGTTGACGCAAGGGGTCCTTGGTGCTCTCTGAGCTTCCTCGTTTTCTTGCAGACATTTCATTACCCAAACTAGATAACATCATCATTGGGTAATAAAACATCTGCAAGGAAACAGCCAAGCTCAGAGAGCACCAAGGACCCATTCTCTCTTCCTTGAACCCTCTTGCACCAGTTCTTCCTTAGAAAAAATAAAGAACATTCATATTTGATATGGAGGAGGAAGAGG